TTAGGTAATATGAATAATTTATTTAAGCTATTGATTAATTATTATAACTTTTTACTATAAAAGATTAATTAATTTGGTAACTGTCGTTCCCAAAGGTTATAACCTCGTATTAAATATTAGCATCTTTATAATAAAATTAAAATATGATCATATTGACAATAAAATCAAAATAATATAATTATATTTATATTAGTGCGGTGTAAAATAATACCACTACGATCAAATCAAAACAATATAACTAATCTGCCATTTATTTATAATATATACACTATCTTTATTTCAATATTGTGTAAATGAATACCTAGATGCAATCAAAATAATATAACTATATTTGTATTTATGATCCTTTTACTTACCTTATATTTATAATAAATATTATATCTTTAAATGAATTCCACTATGACAAACAAAACAAAATAATATATATATATATATATATATATATATATATATATATATATATATATATATATATATATATATATATTTTCATGTTGTTGCTTTTAACTTACCCTACACATTACATGTTGTACTATAAGTGCCCTCATTTTTCTTTTTTCCCCTTAAACTCAAAACCATTTATTTTTTTGATTTAACATCTTTTTTTGTTTTTTTTTTCGAACTTTTTTTTTGTTTTTTGTTTTTCTTTTATTTATTATATTATTCTTATTATTTAAAAAAAAATAAAACTTATTATTAATATTATTATTATTATTATTATTAGTAGTATTATTATTATAAAAAATTAATACTCATTAGTTGTCCATTAATATTCTCTAGATAACACAAAAGTGAAATAAAAGGCAAAGTAAGTGTGGTAAATAAAGAATTTAAAGCCAAAAGTTTTGATTTGATTGGAATAATCTTTATCTTTTTATTTAATAATAAAGAAACTGATTTAACATAACTTTAACTTTATACGTTATATAATATCACGATTCATCCGATTCAACTGAATTCAATATTTGTTCCATTCATAACAATATTCACAAAATTATTGATCGTCATTCTTATGGCAAGTTTTCAAACTATCCTGGTATGTATTTTTGATGGATACTTTTAGTTTATTTGTAAGTTGTTATATGTTATATTTATAGTGGAATTTTTTTAAACTGACCAGGTATATATTTATATTTGTTAGGTGTTTAGCAATCGTGAAAATTTAACAGAGTGAGTGCAAGAAACGACACAGTCTCTTGGATATGTGGTTGTTATTAAAAGAACAAAGAAAAAGGAAGTGGATATTTTCAAATATTATTTTTATGTGTGATCGGGGTGGTGTAGCTAGAGGTTTGGAGACGTCTACCAAAAATACACGGTCCAGAAAAACAAATCGTCCATTGGAAAATTTTGCTTGTTACTATAAGTCGGATGATGTCTAGAGGTTAAATGTTAAAAAGGATGAACATAATCATGAATCTGCAATACAATGTATATTGAGGGTCACCCACATGCAAGACTGTTAACCCCAAATGAATCATAAACGGTTGAAGAAATGAAGATAAAAAAATGTCTCCTCATAGAATATTCTATCGGCACTGAAGAGAGAAAATTTCAAAAATGTTTCTACATTAAAAACAATTTATAATGAGTGTTACAAATTTCGAATGGATGAGCTTGGAGACCGAAGTCAAATGCAAGTTGTCTTCGGATTTTTGCATTTAAAAGGATATATATATTTAACCATCGTGCAAATGATACATCCAATGCCTTGGAAGATCTATTCTTTGTTCAACCAACGTCATTGGAGATATGGCGTGCATTTCCAATGTCAAACGTTACTGATGATGCTACTTTTAGCGTAAGCTTGATTTAATCAATGTCAACGTTACAGAAGATGCTAATTTTGGTTTCGAAGACGGTGTGGAATTGTAAAAAGAAAGCTACGGTAAATAGTCAAATGAATAGAAATGTAGTTATGTAGAAATATGTGGGACATATTTTTACCATCAAAAACTACAGTTGTTGATCCCTGTACTATTTTTTGTAACATATTAATTTATATATTAACTAGGTGGGAACCCCCACGTTGCAGGGATCGAATGTGATAATTTTTTCCGTTGTTTGTTCTTTGTAAATGTTATTTGATGAACTATTTGTTTATAGTTTGAGTATTGTTATGGAGCTCGTCATGGATAATTTTTTTGTTATCGGATAAGCTATTTATCGAAATATAAACTTCATGGGTTTATCCTTTGGTTGATGGGATAGAACTGGAGAGTCGGATTCAACGGATCAATTTCTTCATGGGTTTTTCCTCATTAAGTGTTGTTTAAACATAACATCGGATAGTTCAAAGAACATTTGATAAAATGACAACACATATATCTGATTTAACCAAAGTCACCACAACAAACATAAAAAAAACAAAAGAAAAAAATCAATTTGTTGATCAGTGTGTTTGTTACAGTATGCTAATAAGTTCAATCGTCGACTTTGTTAGATTCCATAAGCCTTGAGAAAAGAAAAGAAAAAAAAAAAGATATCAAACATTTTTAACATCTATAGTTTTTGTAGCTGTGTTCTTACTCAAAATTATGTTCACATATATTTAGTTTACTGTCCATCATTCCATTATTTGCTAACCCTGTGATGATAAAATTTGGTATCTTGATGTTCTTTTTTGGCATTGATCCGAACTACTCCACAACAGATTGGCGAATCTAGTTACCATCACCATGAAATCAAACGCTCATACAGAAGATTATGAATCACAAAAAACCTCACCACTTGAGTTCTACAATCAGCTGAAGATTATGATGCTCCATTTATAATCTGGAGCAATATATGTTCAATGTTCGCTTCAAGGGGCTATTTGAATGAATTGGTCAATAAGGGGGTGAAGCTCATTTGTATCACACCCAACCTTAGCCTTCAAATGCTCAATAACTTCTTGATCTTTCGGGTCAAACTTCACTTCGACTGGTAATTTAGGCAAATCTGGAATCAGCCCCTAAAGGATGCTCCACTTCGACTGGTAATCCAGGCAAATCCTTCGAGAGTGTCTAAAACAAAAATAATTTAATTTTTTTTTTGTTTTTATTAAATTATTTGAAAATAATTAAAGTAATCAAAAGTCAACATACCCTTGACTTGGTGCACACATCTGTTCCAAAACCTCCAATCCTGTTTCAAAATGTCAAAAAACTGAAACTGAATAAGCAAAGGAAAAACGTAAAGAGTGTATATATGTTTGGTTTATAGGATAAATGAACTAAAAAAAAAGTGAATTTGGTTTTTGGATAAATGTGATCAAAATGTTGAAACATTTTTTAATGGTTTACAAAGGGAATAGGAAAGTACCAAATGTACACAACAATGATCTTATCAGTGTAAGAAGTAGCATCCAAGACATCTAAGACGAAACAATTAATTTGAACATAAAAAAACCAATCTTTCAACAAAATTGAAATATGAACAAAAAAAACATTATATAAGGGTAGTTCAGTCAAAAAGTATTAATGATAAAAAAAAGATTTTTTTTATTGATAAAATCAGTCAGTTTCAATAAAAAAAATTGCATTCAATTTGAACATAAAAGAATTGTAAACACTATCCCATTTTACTACACCGATGCATATTTGAGTGCAGGGCCAGATTGATCTTTCAGCAAAATTGAAATAAGAACAAAAAAGCTATACATAGGGGAAGTTTAGTCACAAAACTGTTAATGATAAAAAAATATGTGTATATAGTCTCTTAGCAATTACTTAATTGTTGACTAATAACTTTCATTTTCAGAATATATATAAATTAGAATTTTACTTTTTAAACTATCATTTCATTTTCAAAATAAACGTCATCTGAGCTTTGAATTAATCCACTATAAAATTGATGTGAATAAAAGTTTTTGAACTTCATTAACAAAGTCTAAAAAAGATTTTTGATCCTTAAACCTTTTGTTTTGATGATTTGTATAAGACGCCCGATGTTTTAAAAAAAGTACACAATTTTTTTTTAAGAAAAAGTTATGATAAATATTTTTTATTGATAAAATCAGTCAATTTTTATAAAAAAAATGCATTCAATTTGAACATAAAAGAACTTTAAACACTATCTCATTTTACTGCAATGATGCATATTTGAATGCAGGGCTAGATTGATCTTTCAACAATATTGAAATAGGAACAAAAAAACTGTATATATAGGGGTAGTTAGGTCACCAAAACTGTTAATGATAAAAAAAAATATGTGTTTTTTTACTGCTAAAATCAATCAATTTTAACCAAAAAAACAGTTGCGTTCGATTCAAACATAAAAACTGCATACTCTGTCCCATTTTACTGCGTTGTGGTATATTTGAGTACAGGGGCAGATTGGTCTTGCAGCAAATCTGAAATACGAACAAAAAACTATATATAGGGATAGTTTAGTCACAAAACTGTTAATGAGTAATATATTCAAAAGAAAAAAAAAAGTAAGATTCAAAAGTAAACAAAGAGTAAAAACAAAAGCTCCTAGATTGGAACATGTGTGTTTGGATGTGGTTATACGCGAGAGAGAGAGAGAGAGAGAGAGAGAGAGAGAGAGAGATAGTAACTTGGATCGGCAATGACTACAATACCTGAACCGGAGAAGTCACATGGGCCAGACACCTTGCCTTTGTTTTGGAAATAGTTGTTAATCGCATAGTCACAATCGTCATTTCACATTTCTTATTTCTCATTTCATTTTCCCTAACGGTTTGTAATAATAAATACCGAAAAGTTAAAACCTTAGAAATGAATGCTGAAAACATTAGATGATGCAATTTCCACCTCAATCGTAGCAGCTTCTTCAATCTCCTTTCATCCTAACTGGTTAACAATATAGTAAATTAGTTACACATCATAACCATCTCTAAATTGAACAATTCCATAAATGGGCCTACGACTTGAACCAATGATCACTAACCTAGAAGCTTTCCAATTATATACGACCTTTTGCATGAGTTTCAAGAAACATCTTCTCTCCTCTCCCCCAAACCCCCATCTTCATGATGAAACTTGTTGGAGAAAGTGCTACCACTGAAAACAGTTGTAAATTTAAAACACACTTCCGACCACCATATAATCAAAGAATCAAGAAACACAAATATACAAAATAACTGTGATTGAATTTAATACCTTTTGTTCAATGTTGGTGTTATTGTTCCTGATGTAGATGCTTCTTTTTCTGTGTAAAAAAATAAAATAAGAAAGAATAATCTCATTCAGGAAAATAACGAAAATCCTTTGCTCCCGCGAGGGATCGAAATTGCTTTTTTGTCAAGTATATTTTACTTGGGTTTTTTTTTTACCTTTAACCTACAAAAAAAGCAACCAAATTTTTTGGGTTGCCTTTTTACCCTCACATTATATATATATATATATATATATATATATATATATATATATATATATATATATATATATATATATATATATATATATATATATATATATATATATATATATTTCTTTTTTTCATTCAGGTTATTTATGCAGGGAAAATGTTGATGTACGTAGGGTTTCATTTTCTACCAAAAAAGTATTCATTATCATTTGGATAAAATTACCTTTTTACCCTTACATTATATTTTTTCATTACATCTTAATATTCAAAATTTGACAAAATTTAGTCAATATATATAACTGCTAAAGTTGAAATTATTTCTTCAATACATATACAAAGAGGCTAATTTGGTCAAAAGTATTATACATATTAATTTCTATACTATCTAGTCAAGAATGAATACCTGCAGACCCACCCATGAAAATGCATTGCTAAAATGAGAGTAGAAATAGTAGCACAAGCTAATAGAACTGTAGACAAAGTAACAACATTGTAGTTAACATTTGGATTTTGCACCATGTCAGAACACAATCTGAAAAGAACAAAAACAGAGATTTAAAAAAGTTAGGAAAACCCTTAAAAATCCCCTTTTGATCACAAGAAAAAATTAACCTAATACCCATTGTCTTTCCCGTAATCTATTCAACAATTTAGAGACTTTTAGTGTTTGAAGTTTTCAAAGAATAAAGATTTGCTAGGAAAAAAAACCTTCAAACTTGACTTTTTAGAAGATGCATCTTTAAATCTTGGTTTAGAACATTAAACTATCGAAAAAAAAATAATCACATTCTTACCAGTAAATTAGAATCAATTCAAGAAGAGTAAACTAACTTATTTAACAACAAAATATGACACGAAAAGTAAAACCCTAGTTCAAGATTTAAAAGTCGTATTCAGAACAGTTAAAGAAAAATCACCGTTGGGAGCTTGTAAGGATCAGGAAGCATAGAAACTTGTGAAGGAGGGAAGAACATATGCAAATGAGCTGAAAGCAAAGCCACTAATGAAATTGATGCTATTACGCACTATAGCAGTCGCCGCATTAACCCTAACTTCCTCCATCTCTTTTTTTTGCATCTCTATAATATTTGTTTTTTTTTTTACTTTGCTGAAATCAATGAAGACACCAGTTACACACACAGAACCAAGAGTGATTTTTCTTTAAATAAAGGAAGAGGCATCTGACCTCTGAATAGCAAACCCTAGAGAAGTTACGGAGTATAAAGCACAAATTAGAAAAAATTAGGCTCAAATTGACCTGAATCGGGTTCGCCATCTCCGGTAATACCTTAACAGGGGCTTTTGCTGGAGGCTTTCTCCGTTTCTCGGTCTTGGTCTGCACGTAGGTCTGTTGAATTCACATATCCACTGTGCTTTACCCCCGATTTCTCTTTTCCCTTACTTCTGTGTTGTAGGTAAGGAAGAGTGGACGGCATCGGGTATGGCCGATATGGAACCTCCACCGGAACCCTAAAACGTTGTTACCTTGCGGTTTTGTTGGTCAGCGAAGCCCACGTACCAAAGAACCAAAGCCGATAGATGGTCATGGTGAAGAAGTATACTTGCAGCAGATTCTCGGACTTCGAGTACATTGCAGTCGGTGTTTCCCTCTAATCGCACATTTGACGAAATCAGTAGACAAAGATGAAAGGGCTTTGAGAGAATCTGAAGCAGTCGATGGTTTTGTGGTAGTTGTGTCTAGAAGTGTCGTTTAGAAATGGAGGAATCTAGAAAATAAATCTTGGGAAACACAGGAACCGAGGCAGAACCGGTTGGGGGAGACTTGGAAATGACATGTATCTGCCTCATCCTCATCTTTACACCACTTAATAAATTTAAAGACCAAATTGTCAATACCACAAATTTTATTACCAAAAATCTTAATCATTAAAAATATGAAAATTTATGGGTCATTTTTGCCAAAAAAATCATCATGTTTACTATTCCTAAAAATGTCCTCCTTTAATATATATAAGAATGTGCTAACAATTTACTTGTTTATTCAGATGTTCATAAAATACTCGTGGACGTAGCAAACGAAAATCCAAAAAGGTAGACCACAACACCCCACCCATACCAAGCCCCACCGTGACTAATACTCGTAGACGTACATTTTCTATGAATAGAACATATAATATGGATACTAGTGACCTTGACTTAAATCAAGAACCAGAGAGGCATAACACATATTCGTTTCGAGAACTTCAATGTCTAACTCATACTTTAACCAAGATCAACCATTTAGCACGCACTCGTTTCGAGAACCTTCAATGTCCAACTCATACTTTAACCAAGATCAACCATTTTATACTTCAAACCCACTTATGAATGAAATTCCACATCAATTTCATCCATATGTCCGACACATTACAAATGTCGAAGAAGATGGAAATTGTGGATTTGGTCTATAGTAGCTGCCCTTGGTCGTAGTGAACATGATTGGCTTCAAATTAAGTACAATCTATACAATGACTTATTATCACACTATCAAGAGTACATTATGATTTATGGTGATGTTGATTTTGAAAACTACATAAGTCGCTCATTGAATTACTCTAGATCGGGTTTTGCGGTATTGGAGTATTGGTTGGTTATGTCAGACACAACTATGCTCATTGCTACAGATATGGTGTTATCGTTATTTATCTAAGCAAGCAAGGTTCTTCAACGTAGTTCCCACATCGATATGGCCCGCGAGACATACCAAATAATCCATATGTCGTTATTGCCCATGTTCACCCTAACCATGATGCAATGGTTGATTTACATGGAGCATATCCAATGCCTAAATTTATAGTGCTCGACTAAATGCTTTTTATCCGCATCACACACTACACAATTGTAATACCGAACCAATTAATATTCGTGATAAACAAAGATAACTTTTCTTTTGTTCCATTTTATATAACCGTTCAAATTTTATAATGTTTAAAATGTCGTTTGAATTTTAAAATATTGTCGGAATTTTATTCGAATACCAAACTTTATAATAATAATAATAATAATAATAATAATAATAATAATAATAATAAAATAAATAAATAAATAAATAATAATAAATAATTAAAAACAACAAAAAAAAAAATAGAGAAAAAAACAAACAAAAAAAATACAAAAAATCACATGGGATTGAATTGGAAAAATAAGTGGGGTAGTTATAGCATTAACCTAAATAAATACCCTAAACTTTTACTATAAATGAATGTGTCCCAAAATTTATTTTCATTCTACGATATTTTGAAAAAACGATAGCCTAAGTAAAAAATGAGTTGGCCGTAATATTTGCCATCGTTTGATGAGTTAAATGACGATGTATGTTCGTTTATTATTATTCAGATATTTATGTTTTTATAAATCACTTTATATTTGTGTATTGATTAGACTAATGATATTTACACAAACAATGCATCTCAAGATGACTATAATGAAAATACTTAGAATTTGAAACTAGCATGACATAAAGTTTTAGATTTATTAATATGGTTATCAATCAATAATTTTATTAATTTTATTGGTAACTAATAAAAAAATATTTTTAGGTATCTAATTCTTGTCAACAACTAATAGACTGGGTGTAACAATTGGTAAAAATGAGGGGTGTAACAATTGGTAAAAATAGGAACGATAGTACGATACTATATTTTGACTTTTAAGCAATATGAACATTTTATCAAAAATGGTTGAAGGAATTTAATATGTTTTATTAGATAAGTTTTTGTGAAAAATAAGACAAGAGATTAATGATAAATCCCGTTATGACATATGGCTACGAACCAACATCGGTTTGTGAAAATTAGCATATAACGTCGTTTGAATGCAACAAATTTAATTACCGAATCAACTTGTCTCCAGTTGATGAGTAAGTTAAAGTATATATAAAATTTGTGCTTAAAATTTGTGAATGATCTAAATTTGACAAATATACAAACCAAAGTGACGAAACGTCTTTAACGATATGGTTAACCTGTTAAATGTCACGAAATTATACCTTTGTCAATAAGATTTATATTTAATTAATAAAAATATAAAATGAATTATTATAAGGCATAATTAGAATGTAATTAAGTGTTTTTGTATAAAAAGAATAAAACATAAACATTTAAAATACACAAAAACTACATAGTTATTTTATACCAAGTATACATGTATGTATTTGTACATATGTATTATTATCTAGTGGATGACTAGTTATGAGTTATGACTTAAAGTGATTTTATGTAAGGAATATTTTGTCTAAATCAATTAAGATAAGAGAAATGATTGAGATAAGTGCCAACTTAACTAATAAGTGCTTAATCACTTAAGACATTTTACTAAGAATACTTCTTAATCCCTCTTCTAATTTTCGAGATTAACACCTTCCCTCTCCATAACTAAAACTTCTAACTAACTAATTAACTAACTAGTATTTACTTAGTTAACTAATTCTATCTCTAACAAACCAACCAACCAAGTGGCAAGGCAACATCATATCTCACAAACTCCCATCTCATCACAAGCTAATCTAGGCTTGTCTCCTTATCTTCCTCTCCTCTCCTCCTTCATAATCTGAAAATATCTCCTTCATTCTTCTCATTTCATCAGCCAATACTATAGGGAAAAAGCTCTCAACCTTCATCTCATTTTCAGCCACAAGAACTTCCTTCCAAAGCCATCAAACCGTGAACCTTAAGAGTTGATGTCCCTTAGTGTTTCAACCACCATTTCACCCATCTACACCTTCCTTTTGCTAGATATTTTTCACCACCAAATACCACTGGAAGTTAGTTGTTATGCTACTCTAAATTAGAGACTCAAAACAGTGAGTAAACTACCCTTTTCTTACCTTTTTGTTGTGAAGTTTTCGTGATAGCATCATAGCCAAAACAATGGCTGTTTTGGAGCATCAAACCAACACCCAAAAGTTCTTCATTTTACTGCCCATTTTCGAGATTCAAAGTAAACCATATTTAGCTACTTTCAAACACTTAAAACCCATGAGAAAGTTACCCTTTGACTTCTCAAGAAGCTTTTGTTTTCCACCACTTTTTGGCAACATACTTTAGATACATGATAAAGCTAGAATCCAAAAGAATATTCAAATCAAGAGCTTGAGTGGAACCGGAAACCGTACGAACCATTTTCAACCCAAATAACTTTATGCGACAAAAGTGAGTTTTCTACAGCCCCTATTTTATGTTTTATAAGTTTTGGGGGAGAATACCCACTAAACAAAATCCTAGTTGGATGATTTAAAGGCTTTGCTAACTAAAAATGCAAGTTATGTCACTAAACATATCTAAGCTTAAATTTCAGCTTTTTATAGTAAAGTTGTGGTCTGTTTACGGACTATTTTTTTCCCTTCTTAAACTTATTAAGTTTTAAAAATGTACAATATAAAAATAGTTCAGGTATATAGCTTTTCAAAGACTACTCGTACGTGTTCGTATGATTTTTCGACAATTTATGGTGATTTTTACAAAAATGCCTATCATTTCAGAACATTTTCGGACCAATCTGTAAAAATAAACATTTTCACTCTGTTTAGGAACCAATTAAGGTTAGGGTAGAAATTATGGACAAAGTAGACTCATTTTCTAATCTTTGAGAGTTTATGGATCCAAATTTCGACTTACGATGATTTTTCTATAATTTTTCTAAAAACTTGTACAAAATTGCTCTTTTGATTTACCTTGCTGTTTGTTTTTTTTTTTCAAATATATACAAAGTTTTGTTGTAAATGAGAAATAAACCAATTATGATATTTTAATTCACACATACTTTAAGAGTTACAAAAGTGTAAATTATAACAAATATTTCTAATATGATCATGTTGACAACCTTATAAGATATGATGATTTGAACTATGTTGATTTTGGTCACTCATAGCCGGGGTGTTGTACAAACTTTGTTGGTCACTTACAGTTGGAGTTCTATCTAAGCAATGGGTATGGTCACTTACAGTCGGAGTACTATCTAAACATGTATATGGTCACTTACAATCAACGCACTGTTGAAATTGTATAGGGACACATAGGACCGTTGTCTTGTTAGAATTTTGGTAGCTTTATAATATTAAGCATTACAACAAAAAGTCTTCAAACTCAAACAATTGGGAATTATAACAAAATCCCAGATACAAATATAATAATACAAACTAGGATGAGGCTGTATGTAGTATAAATATTGTTTGTAGATTATTAAACCGATTGTTGGTGTCTATTTATACAAACACTAAATATTTTGCTTCAAAAAATATGTTAATATTTACTTTTATCATAACTATTTTAACATGGATACTTGTATCAGATTTCAAGTATCGGGTCTCACATGAAGCATATCGGTAACATTGTTGACCATGTTTTGCACAACTTATTTCGTTAAACATTCCACGTTTTATAAAGAGAGTATGTAGTATAAATATTGTTTGTAGATTGTTAAACTGATTGGTAGTGTTTATTTATATAAATACTTATTATTTTGCTTCACAAAAACATGTTAATATTTACTTTTATCATAGGTATTTTAACATGGATAATCGTATTGGATATCAATTGTCGGGTCTCACACGAACCATATTGGTAACATTGTTGACCATGTTTTGTACAACTTA